ATTTTTTTTTTTTTTTATACAAAACCATAGGAGGGTGGGGGTTAAGGCGGAAACTCCAACCTGTATATAAAAAAGACTCTAAATGAGTTGAAAAGTCACAAAACTACAAATCTAATATCTGATATACATCAAGTAGAACGAAAAACCAAAAACAGAAGAAAAAAAATATAAAGAAAAGCTGACAACTGCAGTGGGAAATACAAAAATAAGGGATCCTGGTCCGGGAGACACTACAAAAAAACTCTTACATTCCAACGGAAATTTTCCGTTAGAATAGGTATTTCAACGGATAGTCCTACGTATAAAAATCCTTTGGAAAATCGGTCGTTGGAATAGGAAATATCCAACGAAAAATCTAATGGAAATAAATTCCTACAACTTCTAACGGAAAAAATCCGTTGGAATTCCTCAATTATCCAACACTTATTCCAACATAAAATTAAGTTTGTTGGAATATTCATTGGAATTTTCAACGGAAATTTTTGTCGTTGGAATTGTAGTGTTTTTTTTGTAATGAGAGTCCCGTCGAGAAAGTCAACATCACATTGTTGATGCGTCACAGTGTGATTTACTCTATGTGAAATGAGAATTGGAAAACTTTCGATTTAACATATTCACACTGTTAGCAATCTGTAGTATCTTCTTCCTCTCCAATTATTCATTTCACTAAAATCTGATTTTAGAAGCCTAAACCAATCATGTCCCAAACACGAGACCACGTCTCAGTCCTCATAGACTCCAGCCTCCTCCACCTGCCTTCCTACTCCCTGAACAGCCCTACCATCTTTCGAGTCGACCACGACACGCGCCACGGCAGCGAAAAACTCTACGATCCGATTGTCGTCTCCATCGGCCCGTTTCACCACCAAACAGCCCATCTCCAGAAAATGCAGCTGCAGAAGCTCGCGTACCTCAAGTGCCTGCTCAAACGCCGCGGTGAGTCCACCGTCGACAAATACGTAGCAGCCGTGAGGTCCCTGGAGGAAAAAGCCCGAAACTCCTACTCCGAGCCCATTGAGCTCAACACAGACGAGTTCGTTACGATTCTTGTGCTCGACGGGCTTTTTGTGGTCGAGCTGCTCCGAAAGGATCATATTCGCCGGCTGAGGGAGAAGAACGACCCAATTTTTCGATTAGAGCATATCCTTGTCATGGTCCAGCGCGACCTCATGCTCGTGGAGAATCAGGTCCCGTTTTTCGTGCTCCACCGGCTTTTCACCATGACAAGGAGCAATGACGACCCATGTGACAACATTTTTCATCTTGTCCATAATTTTACCACCAGCATTTCGCCGTGGCCGAAGGCCTCGAAGTTTTTCAGCACACCGGAGGAATATAACGGTGACGATCACCTCCTCGGCCTCGTCTACCAAATCTTGTTCTCGTCGTTTGAGAAATTGAAAGCCAACAGTCCCGTAAATTCGGCCTCCTCCGAGCCGCTGAAAACAGTGGTCGAGCCCAAAAGGAGCAACTGCCACGACTTCTCATTCGTCTACAGAATCTTGTTCCCCTTGTTCGGGAAAACGAAAGCCGGCAATCCCGTAAACTCGGCCTTCTCCGAGCCGCAGGAAACAGCGGTCGAGCCCAAAAGGAGCAACTGCCATGATTTCACATTCGTCTACAAAATCTTGTGCTCGTTTTTCAGGAAAATGAAAGCCGGCAGTCACGCTCACGACGAAAAAGTTCTATCCTTACATTCAGCCTCCGAGCTGCAGGAAAGAGGGGTCGAGTTCGAAAGTAGCAACTACCCGCACATCAATTTCGTCGGGGGCGTCCTTAGAATTCCGGAACTCTGTGTGGGAGACCAGACCGAGTCAATTTTGAGGAATTTGATGGTGTACGAGCAGCTTTTCACGGAAGAGCGTCCAAAGTACGTGACGGACTACACCTTCTTCTTACAGTGCCTCGTGAACCAGTCGAGGGATGTGGAGATATTAAGGCGGCGCGGGATTTTGGAAAACTTGTTGGGCGGAGATGAGATGGTATGCCCTGTTTTCGCAAGTCTCGGGAGAAATACCATGATATCGACATGCGATTTTAACGCGGGTGTTTACGATGAGGTGAACAGATATTGCAGCCGGCGTAGGAACAGGTGGATGGCGGTTTTGAGGCGGGATTATTTCAGTAGCCCGTGGTCGTTTATCAAGTTTTGTGCAGCTTCATTGCTGCTGTTGTTGACGGTGATACAGACTACGTTTGCTGTCCTGGGTTATTGGAAGCCCAATAACTGAATAAGGTAAGGTGTGATATTTGAGTTTGAAAATGTGTTATATACTTGTATTTATTCAAAAGGCATAACCACTTAAAAGCATAAGTGATAAGACTAGACATGTTAATAAAATCTGCAATATTTTAGGTCTAGTCTTGTCTACGTGGAATGTAATTGAACCTAAGTCTTGGATGTCTGGACAAAAAAATATAAAATTAACAAAATTTACTCCAATACAAGGAGACTAGGTTAGACTGGGTATCCTTTTCTTGCTGTCACATCAGCAAGACCTAGTCCACTTACACTTGCATTGGAGAACACATTTTTTTAGACCGAGTCTATTTTTCGAGGTGGCATTCCATTTTTTTTTTATTGAACCCAAAGCATTGTGGTAGACATATTTTATTTATTTAATATTATATTTTTTATGTTTATTTTTTTCGTATGTCTATATATATATATATTGACTTATCTACACACTGATAGAAAAGGTGATGGAGTCGCCCTAGACAGAAAGAATGACACTCGAGGAAGGAATGACACTCGAGGAAGGAAGACGCATTCGCACACGAAATATAACATATTCTATCTTATTTGTTTCTTACTAGTAGTATGTTAAGGTTAGATTTTTATTCAGGTGGGGAAGATGTTTGGGCCATAATTTCAATTTGTCATTGAATGATCTTTTTATTTATTGTCTGTTTGGCTATGTTTTCGTGGGAGGTTATATCGTTGTTTATATCTACAAATTCGGCTAGATCACACACATCGAGTGTGTCAATGCCTTATAGGATCGGAGTTTTCGTTGAAATCTTGTATTTGTCAATAATGCTTGATATGGTTCAAGTTATTTATGATATGTTTTTTTT